ACATAAACGAGGGTTGATTTGGAGAGTGTGGTGGTGTGGTTTATATTTCATACCTGTGAGGCACGTGTGAACACACACACACACTCTCTCTCTCTCTCTCTCTCTCTCTCCCTCTCTCCTTCATGTAATGTAGATCCCCAAAGTAGCAACAAAAGTTCCATATGGTTTGAGTATATCGAGACGCATACTAGAACTAATTAGACATTTCAAAGACATTTTATTATATTTTGTTCTCTGCAGCAAATTAAAGTGTTCTGAATTGACTTTAACAACTATTAATTTTTAAGAGATAAGAGAATTTTCATGTGAATTGAATCAGGCTTCTATGTACAGTATAAATAAATTGGCCAGTGAATGCATATTATAACTTTCAGAACACTGTGCTGAGAATTAGGAGACTTGGGTTTTAAACTCTGCCTTGGGTGAGTCATTTAACTTCCTTGGCCTTTAACTTGCCTGAAATTTGAAATGAGGAGGTTGGATTACATAATCTCTCTGGTACATTCCAGCTCAAAATTCTGTGATATCCATTACTAGTAGAGAATAAGACCTTTGCTTTGTTTGTTTAGGAGGTGAGGAAGGGTGGGGTGTCAAACCATGGCAGATGTTGTCGTCAGTCCTTCAGTTCTTTGTAATTTGGGAGTGCCCGTGAGAGGGGCATAAAGTAACTGAAATAATGGGCCATGTGCGGAAATGCTGCTACCGTAGGTGAGTTTCAGTTCTGTGACAGCTGAGAGTTACTTGCTGGGTACTGAGAGAGGGTCTGACCAGTGGACACTGCAAAGTGGAAACGAGCAGTTTTCACCAAGTTCTCTATGTGCCTAACAGCAGCAATTGCTTTTAACCTTCCACAACTAAATTTTTGAAGGTTACCCTGTCATTTTTTCCACTTAGAATTGGTATTTAACATAGATGCTTTTCTAAGGAAGATAGATAGAATTTTGACTGTACGATATTCTATGAAAAACTTAGATGAAGTTTTCATAATAACTCCTTTAACTCTGATTCTTGAATAAAGACATTCTTACATATTGCGATGACTCAAACAGACACTAATTCTTCTGCTTAATACCAACAAAAGTGTAGAAATCCCTATTTTTTATCTATTTGTATGGGGCATTAAAACCATATGATACTTTACATATTGCTGTTTTGGGCAACTTATTTATTGTATAGGTGTTTGCATGTTTGTCTGTTAAGTTTAAATTTGAACAACTAATATTTAAAGTATTCTTACCTACCAGTCTGTGCTTTGAAAAATGAATTTTAAAAAATCTAGTCTGGACAAGGGAGAAATTATTCTTTTCTGGAAATATACATTGGGCAAAATGACTGATAATTTTACATTTGGTTACAAATACATAGCAAATAGTGTATGCATCCTTGTTCCAAGGGTAATGCTTTCATTAATATCAGGTACCAAATTTTGGCCCTAGAATGATATGTTTGTTTTACCAGCCTACGACTTCATTTGCCTATCATTAGAGATGGACTTCTGGATTTCCATCTCATGATTATATAAAAGTCAAATATCAAGAGTTTCCTTAATTTGAAGCTAGTTAAGTTCATGAGAGTGAAGATTTCTATATGTGTCCCTACTGTATCTTTTTGACTGCAGCTTCCCCTCTCCTCCAAATCTCTGACATTCTCACAGTCGAAACAAAGGTCTTGCCATTTTTCTCTTGCCCAGTTCATTCAAGTTATTCACTGATAAAACCCCGATTCACTCAAACTTCTGTTTTATTGTTTTTCTTACATCTTAAGTACTTTCCCACCTTACTAATTTTAATAAGTTCGCTAGCAAAGTATGGTTTTTCACTTTTACTTTAAATTTTGATTAAAAAACAAGTGGGAAGAAAATGACCAAGTTATATCAGCTGCTAAATGCTATTTAAAATAAAAGCGACAATAAAAATATCATTGACTCAGAGCTATTCTCCTCTGAGTCACATGCTGTCAAATATGTTTTCAAATGCAAAATTACTTTTGCAAATATTTTTGAATATTTTGTGGGAAATATTGATGCATTGAGTTAGGAAATGATGTACATTTAATATGCCAGAAAAATCACTGAAATGGAATTGAGAAACTAATTTATTAATCAGATACAGGAGATATTATGTTGCATTCTCATGCATATATTCACTGGACTTAAAATGCAGTTAAATATTTTGAGAAGAAAGCATTTTAAATGCCGTTTTATGCATTAAAAATGTTTCCATTTATGAAAGAACCACGGAAAACTTAATACTTTTCTTCTTAAAAAACTTTTATTTCTTTTGGTCTTTGGAAATGGTCAGCTGAGTAAAGAGTACAAAGCAATTGTCTTCTTGGTAGATAGTGCATGGATTTCCATGCACATTAGTTTAGGCTGGGGTCCAATAATAACTTACCATCATCTTAAGCAGTGGAATATAAGAATTCATTTCAAGTAATATTAACTATGACACTAATTCGGTATTAAACTCTAAGCACATTAGCAAGTATGGTACAATGCACTATTACTTTCCAAGTCGCTGCAGTAAGTTTTTCATCATTAACGTTTTATGGTTTTCTTTTTCCTTTTCCATCCAGAACTTATCATTTCGGTAGTATGACTTCTAAACAACTCAACCATTAGAATTTTTACTTATATTCATTTAATTATGCATTCCTGGTGGTCACATCTAGCCACCAACACAGTAGTAAGAATAATCTAATTTTATAGGACTTAATCAACTAGCAGGAGCTTGAATTGTTGTGCTTAATCTATAGGAAGCCAATCTGTCTAAATTCTAGATTTTTATAAGAAAGATAAACCAAAAAGAGAGACTTGAATCCTTGTCTAATTTATCACAGTATAATTAAAATTCTGTTGTCTGACTCATCTCCCCTTACAGTCCGAAGACAATTCCTGTGGTGTATTATGCATTGAAATGGGATGATTGCTTTCCTAAAACACATTCACACAAACAAATGCATAAGTGGGTTTGTAATGTGTTTAAAATAATAGGTATTATTATTACAGATCTTCCTTGGTTTTACTTTTCTGTCAGTAACTTTGAACACAAAATGTGAAAATATAAAATAGAGAGGTTCTGTTCTGCAATCCTGAATTATATAGGGCGACCAACCATCCTGGTTTGCCCAGGACCAAGGGGTACTTAGGACTTCAGTTTAAAAACTAGGACAGTCCCAAGCAATTTTAATGTGAAAACCAGGACAGTCCCAGGCAAATGGGTGCAAGTCGGTAAGCCTAAATCAAGATGAAATGGGGCTGAAGTGGAGACAGTTTTGGGAAAAGGAACTTTTAAAAAATCTTTTCCTGCTCTTTTAGGATTTTCCAAATTTCTCCTCTTTCCACATATCCAACCCCAAAGTCAGGCTAGTTAATGTTAAGTAATGTTTTATATCTCGGGATCCAGAACAAGGCATTAGCAACCCTTGGAAGTCCTGCAGAAGGCAATGAAGGGCAGGGGTATGGGATTGAGCTCTGCATCAAATGGTCTTTATTTGAATCCAGGCTTTGATATTCATTGGGTGGGAGATCCTCTGCCTCCCTTTTGTCAAATATAAATGGAAATAATAATAATGTCCAACTCGTAGGGTTACATGAACAGTGCCTGTCGTGCATTAAGAGCTCCAGGAAGTTAGTTATTTTTTTTGTGGTCTTGATTAAGAACAACAGTTTTGAGCAAGCCAGTATGTTTACCAGTAATAGTAACCTTCATATCTAGATTCTTAGGGTTACTTGTTACTTCTAGCAATTTTCTGCAAGGGGAGGCTTCCATGACCCAAAACATAGCTCATCTATGTTTTGTTTGTTTTGGTTTTGGTTTTTGCTGTTCAAGACATGTACATGAAATGGCAGAAGAAAATTTCAAACTTAGGACTCCTGCAGGAAATGTAGCACCAGTGGAATGGGCAGCTGGATGACGAAATTATCAGAGTTCTTTTGAGGCTAATTATGTTTTTAGTGTAGGATAATAAATTCTAAAGGCTTTATTTTTTTTAATGGCCAGTATTATGATAAAGCTGAATTACTGAATGTCTTATTAAGTGATTCTGAGATTCCATTAAGGAAGGTGTGATAATATTTATTCTCAGTCATGAGGGTTGCATGCAAAATTGAAGAGCATCAATATGCCACAGGTGGGTCTGGCTGCTGGTGGAACTTTGCTTCCATCAGAGCTACAACAAAGAGAGACTGCTGAAAGTAGGTTGTGAGTTGACTATGGAATTCTAATGTATAAATTAAGTTCCTTCAAAATTGCATTGTTCTGTGCTTCAGAATCTAACATCAAGACTTCATCCCAGAAATTTAGTGGGAGAGCTCAACATATGCAGTTCCACTCCATTCCAAATTTGTGGTAGCCTAATAGCAGGAAGTAGACTTGTGCCTGATCTGTGATATTATAACTTAGCCAATTAAGTTTACTATAAGACATATAGTAAAATCTGTCTGTTGAAATGAAACTACAAAACCTTGATTATTTATGTAAAATTTATTTCCAGCATTTACCAAATACAATGCAAAAGATATTTAAGAAAATATTGGAATCACTCAAAAGGTTGAGATAGAAAACCAGGGTCCCTCAGGATTTAAACAGTCAAGAACAGCATTGAAAAACTTGCTTAAAATATTTATTTTGACTTTAAAAATGGAAGGGAAAAGCCTAGAATTCTGGATTTTGCATATACAATTATAAAGTATTTAAGGGCAATTTTACTTTTTCATCGTATAGGCTAATACAACCAAATATGTTCTTACACCTTAAATACCTTTTAAAGTGTAAGTCAATTGTAATAGTCATATCTTCCCAGCTGTTTAGTTTCTTTGCATTTATTACAACAGATTCCTGACTCTCACTATGGGATTCATCAAGGAATATATCTTGTATCACAAGAATTCCATTTAAGATGAAAATGTAACATGGATATATCCTGTAGTGGCATGTAGATATGATAGCTTAAATAATGAAAAATATTTACATAACAGTGGAAGAAACTTCACTTTTGTTAAAAAAAAAACCAAAGAAACCTGACTTTTTTTTTTTGGGTTGAACTGCTATTTTTTATTTTGGGGGAAAAATGCTTTCGTTTCTTTTATCCTTTTTACATGTAGACAAGCTTTCTACAAATGAAGAAGAATCTTCTCTACTTTGTGCTGCTCAAAGACATTAAGTAAACCCCATTTAAGCCTCAAATGAACCTTAAAACATAACTCTGCTTAGCAGTTGTCTAATGATGTCCCCTATACATTGCTCCTGATATATTTTTAGACATAAACTCTGGGGCTCCTGGACCCTATAATAGATCTATAGGGAAAAAAAGTCTCATTTAGTTTTAGACATTTTGCCATGGAATTAAAGAATTCCCATAGGTTAAATAAGATAAGAATTTGGCCTTTTTCCTGGGAGAAGGAAAATGTCACGGAAGCTCTTTTAGAATGGAGTCAGTTATACAAAGCCAGAGCACTTCTGCTTGGTTTAGTTTTAATTAAAACAACAATAATTCAGAACTCCTACTTGCTGCTATCAGTATCTGTAAGTTATTCATGTTTATTTTGGGGAATTATCCACTTTATATATTACATTCTGAAAGAAATGCACTTCTGAAAATATCCATGTTGGAAAGCAGAAAAATTAAGTGTCATATCATTTGTACTGAGAGAATTAAATCATCATCTGGGTAGAAGAATGTTTAGGACTATTTATCCTTTTTCATTTATACTTCTAGTTACAAACAAGTACACTTTAAATCAAAAAGCTTATAAATGTGACATTGACTAGCTGGTTCTGTTCTTTTCTTTCCTCCCCTCCCCCTCCCCATTCTTTTCTTCTTCTTCTTACTTAGATAGAACAGGCTGTGTATTCAATAGCAAAAGTGAGCACTTTTTTGGGGGGGGGGGACTGATATATATGTCCTTGGCTAAATTTAGATTCCAGTGAATAGTTCTGCATTGCAATTCAGAATTTTAATTTATTTTCTACCTACTTTGTTTTATTTGGTGTTAAGGAATGGCCAAATAGAGCATCGAGGATTATAACACTGAGTTCTCAAGAACAGTAATTAGAGAACTGCAGTTAAGATGCTAAAATTTTAAATGATTTGGTGAAGATTTAGGTAAATATGAGGAATTTAAGTAAGTATTATGGAGGATTCTAAACACGATGGGAGAATTACCCTTGGACAGAAAGGATGCTACCTAAATTGTCATCATTTTACGAAATATTGAGCAGGCAGGGATGGGGTCGGAGGTGGGAGTAGGTGGAGGGGCGCGGCACTTTACCACAGCCCGTCTAGGATCCTCCTTTTCTTTAAGATTTTCCCTCTTCTTCGAAGTTTGTGTCTTGCCATTCAAGTGGAAGGATACAGCCCTAACGGCTTGGTTGTCAAGGAAGTAATTTCAAAGATATGGTTCCATTTCAGGATGAACTTTTTGGAACTCTGCAACGATTTTGACCCGCCTTGCGCTCCCCACCCAGAATTCAGCACAGGGAAGGAGCAAGACCGTTCCATAAACTATTCCGCAGACACTGGTTTAAGTGGGAGGGGCAGTGGGGAAGCTGAGCAGCCCTCTGGGGCCCAATCCCGTTTCGACCCTTGCCCCCAAAAGAGTTCATTAATCCGTGTTTGAAAGGAGCGGAAAGGGGAGTCATTCGCAGGAGCTGGCAATGCTGACGGGGGAGAAAAAAATCAGAAGCTCCCTCCCTCATCCCCAAAGGCGCCTGGATGTGAGTGGAAGTCCCTCCCCTGCACGGATACTCTCTCCTTTGCTGAAAGGGAAGTTTGTTTTCAAGCGTTAGCCACCTGTGTGAGGCGCTCCCCGTGAGAAAGGCTGCGTGGAAGACTCGAGAGCTCAGCCACAGGCTGGGGAGCCTTTCTTGGTGAGGCTGGCGGTCCAGACACCTGCAGAACTCAGCGCGCTGAGGATGCAGAGCCCGCTCTGCCCTCCCTCGTCGCCAGGATCGTAGTCCCACGTCCTCCAGCCTGGTATGCTCTGGAGCCGGCTAACGCTTCCCGAGTTTGCGCGGGGTCCCCCGGGTCCTCTCCCGCCCGCCTCCCCGCCCCCAAAGTAGTGCTCCCGCCTCGCTCCGCCCGCGCAGCCCTCGGCGCGCTCAGAGGTTTATCGGGCTCCCCACACGCTCCGCCGGCTTCCTCCGGCGCCCGGCGTGAGTGACCCGGGCACGCCCGCCGCGGCCTCGGAGCCCCCATCCGAGTCCCTTCTCCCGCTCCCCTGCCATCGCGCTCCCGGCTCTTCTCCCTGGCGGTGCGGCGCCCACCGCGGTTCAGGTTGAATCCCGGTTCGACCCGCCTTTTGGCTCATCCCAGCGCTCAGCCTCACAGCCCGGAGAAGTGGAATCTGCCCTGAAACTCTCGGTGGCTGGAGCCGGGAGACTGGGCATGCTCAGAAGCCAGGGCTGGCTTTGGTCTCAAGTAGGAAGCTTTCGCACTCGGGAGGCAGCAGCGACTTTGGGGAAAGTTGATCGGAGAGGGGAGGACGCCCCAAGACGCGGAGCAGCGGCAGGAAGGAGCCCCCGGCAGCCCCGAGGAGCATGGGCACCCTGCGGGATTTACAGTACGCGCTCCAGGAGAAGATCGAGGAGCTGAGGCAGCGGGATGCTCTCATCGACGAGCTGGAGCTGGAGTTGGATCAGAAGGACGAACTGATCCAGAAGCTGCAGAACGAGCTGGACAAGTACCGCTCGGTGATCCGGCCGGCTACCCAGCAGGCGCAGAAGCAGAGCGCGAGCACCTTGCAAGGCGAGCCGCGCACCAAGCGGCAGGCGATCTCCGCTGAGCCCACCGCCTTCGACATCCAGGATCTCAGCCATGTGACTCTGCCCTTCTACCCCAAGAGTCCACAGTAAGCAGGGGTTACGCTCCGGGTCCGTGTGGCACCCTGTCGGTGGGGAGCTGCGGGTCTCTGTATTGTCTGTCGGCCCCCGCCCCTCCCGCTTGCCGTGTCTGTCCTCATCCTCAGAAATGTTTCATTTTAACGGGCACTTCTTGCGGGGCTGTGCACGTTTCTCAGAGTCAGACTCACTGCACCTACGTTGCCTTCGTGTCTTTGTCAGATGTCAAGCTATTCTTTCTTTTTTTTTTTTTTAATAAACATATACATTCATATAGGCCCCCTACTGTACGTAGAGTTTGAATGCGCCCCCGGTGTGCATTGTGCTGTGTATGTGTGAGTGTGAGAAGAGGAATAGAAAGCCCCGTCTCCCAAATGCCCTGGCAAACCTGCCCAACCGGAAAATCCTAACTGCAGGCTCATCAGACTTGAAATGAAATGCGTCTGCTATCACCCTTACTTTCTATGCTTTTGTGGCGCTCCCGGATTTCTCTACATGCCGGCTTTCTCGCTGGTACCCTTCGAAGCTGATGTTCTGGCATCATCAAAGTGTCAAAAATAAGCAAATACACATATGAAAGGGAAGATTTTTTGATTTCCAGAATTCGACGACATTTACAATCCACCTGTGGAAGCCTAGTCTGTTGATATTTTTAAAAAATATTTTTTTAAATAACATCTGAGGGAGAATATTGCTTATTTTCCTTAAGGAATTTATATAATGTTGCTAATGGGGTGCCTCTGTCTCCCAAGAAGGTTGCGTGTTTCTAGGGTCAGATACAGAGAAGTACACTTATCTTTATTGACAACGTGGGCACATTGTTTGCCTTACTCCTGGCTTCTGAAGCAACTACTCTGGTATTGTTCTAGCATTTTAGACAACTGTGTAGTTCTGATGTCAGTGGGCTTCACAACTTGGGTGGGAAAATTGAATGAAGCTTGTTATACACCATGCAACTCAGAGTTCTTATGGAGAGTAAAGTGGCAGAGCATGAAGTTAATATGGAATGAGCACCCAGATAAATGGTATTTTAAGTTAATAGATAATGACATAATTGATAAAACGAAGGGTTTTGATACTCTATTCCTAACAGCATCACGTTGGCTGGATGACACGTGTTACATAATAATATGAGGTCCCTGGGAACCCTTCACTTTATAAACACAAAGATTTAATATAAGGAGAAAGAGTATTTGATTGTCTCCATCTGTATTTATTGGATGTGTGTGTGGGGGTGGCTTGTGAGTAGGTACTAATGATACTTTTGAAAACTTAGACGTGTAACTATCCTTGTTGGTTGCAGTAGAGCATTTGCTGTTCCTCATGCAGGTTTAGTTTAAGGAGAAGTTTGTATTCTGTGAGTGTGGGGAAGAGAATATAAGGATAAACATTTCTGAGATTCTAACCTCACAGAGTTGCCCTAATAGTTCAGTTCAGTAGATTTAGATCTGCTTTCGAAACCTGAATGATCTGAATCCACTTCAGCTTTCCCCGGTAAGTTAATTTGCAGTCCTGACATGCTTGCCTGTTTTAGCTAATGAGGTACATGACCATCTCTCCAGGGCCAAGTTTTGCATAATGAAAAAAATAAGTCAAAGACAGCTCTCTGCATCTTTCAGCATTCCATAGGATCCCATTTTAGTATCTGCAGGAATTTGGAGTAACTCAGAGCAAACTCTGCTTTTATACAAAGACAATTTTAATAGGTTTTATTTGAAGCATGATCAAGCCAGCTGATAACTCCGGTGAAACATTCTATCAGGCAAGATCTAAAGGAATCTAGGCAGTAGGGACTGAGCTGTATAATGTAAGTTTTAGAAATCTCTTAGTGCTTGACATGTAGAGCAACTAGATTTTTAAAAAAATCCATGGTGGAAGATGAAATTAGTGTGGCAAATAATTCACAACATTCTGTCATAATAAACATTTTACCTGTTGAACCATACTGTGCGTTCTGATATTTATTTAATAACTTGTGCTTTAAGGAAGTCAACTATTAAGGTATCACCGTGATGGTTTTGGTGATTCTGAAGGATTATACTGAAGAAAACGATAGAATGAATGTCTTCCAAGCTTAAATAATTTTGGAAAAACATCTGTTCTTTTTTCACACTTACATAAAGAAAACTAGAATAAAATTTGCTTAAGTGTAGAGTACCTTTGGTAAGAGAAGGAGAAGTATATTGTATGCAAAACGATTATTCTTATGTCATTTGAATGAGTGTACAAGATGGTTCTACAAAGAATTAGGAATTTTTGCCAAAGTGAAGGAGACTTGTTTGAATTTCTGTTTATTTCACTATAAATAATTTGATTATACCAACTTACTGGCAACAAGTGTTTATATCTTTATATTTTATTTTTAGTACAAGTTAAATTTGGTCATCATTCTTAAACTTACAGATTATTGGGAGTTGGAGTTAACATGAAACCATCTAAATAGTCCAAAATTGATTTCAAATTTATGGTCATGTAGTTTTCTATTCTCTTTCTGTTGGATATAGGTGACTACCCAGGGAATGTCCTATTCAATTATCTATGTGTGCAAATATGTTTGTTTACTTTTTGCTTACCGAGGTTATCTTCTGAGGATTAGAATCTTTAAAAACTTATTTTTTTAGTGATTTTTTGACCATTTGAAAAACAGTGTAAAATATAAATTAACGTAACATATTTGAGTTGGAATTTTCCTTGTAAGCTGGAATTGGAGGGAAGGCTGTGTCAGATTGTAGCACAGAGCTGGGGCACTCCTGCTGCACCTGTGAGGCAGGGGGGTTGTTTTGGTTTGTCTCTTTCACATGTGTCTAGAAATAACCCTTAAGCCCTTTTTCTGTTGTCATTTGAAGAGCAAAGAACTGATTAGCAAATTGGAATCTATATTCTACTGCTACCAAATATCTATTTGAGAAAGTAAAACTATTAGAGTATGTTTTGAATGAAATTAAGCAAATAAACCCTTAAAAATGAAAACTATATAAAAATATTCATTTTATGAGATCAGCCTATTGATTATATAGAGAGTGGTTCTTATGGATTCTTAAAGTAATTTTACTTCATGCTATTTTATTCCTGAAAATTGACTCTGTAATAGATTAGAACGTTCTGTCACTGGTGTGTTGATCTAAACCCTTTACCTATTGTAAATATTCTCAAATCCTTTCCATTTTGCTGTCATAGGGCTCTGTGTTTTTTTCAGTTGGTCTGTAAAGACTTGAGTTCCTATCAAAAGTTGTTAGTGTCTCTGTGTTTTTGTTAAGCTGTTGCTTTTCACCCTAGAGAAAACTGAATTTCAAAGAATGATGACATATTTTGATTTGTAGTGTTACGCCTTTTGATGGTGAAGTACTTTGGAGAGCTGAGGATAGAAAGAAATATATGTTCTTATTTTTAGGGAGGCATTAATTTTAGCAAGATCTTATCTGATTTTTTTTAAACCTTGACATTAGTACATTTCAGGAGAAATAGAATCTTCCTAAAGGCTGTCTGTTAAATTCTGTAGGAAGTTGGGAGAATTCTAGGATTTTAGTGTAATCATAGATGACATGATATTAAAACACAGATTTCTTCATAGGTAGCAGTTAAATTTCATGTATGCCCTATAGCTCAGTTCAGTACTTTTATGGGATGCACCATGTGCAAGTTAGTGTCATGCGTTAGAGAGGAGAATTGTGTAAGTCCTATGAAGGAGTTAACCAGGGCTTAACAATACTGCACAAGTAAATATTCTAGAAAGTAGAGTAAGGTAAGTCACAGAGGAGATACCTAAGACAGGTGGCGAAATATAATTGAGCCCATTTAATTTTATGGTATCAGAAACTCTTGTGGAAGTAGAGGTATTTAAAGTAAGTATTTGATCGATGGCCATGATTTAGGTGAGTGGTGATGGGATAAGAGGGGTGGGGTTAAGGTGAGGAGGGCCGTCAGCAAAGGGAAAAGACAGCAAAAGAAAGCAGAGGGTACATCTGGGGAACGACAGCAGCTAGTGGCAGTAACAGAATACCGTGGTGGAAATTGAGGAAAAGCAAGTTTAGGCCAGAGAGAATCAGGATGAGTAGGTGAGAGGGCACTTGGCGCTTGTTGTTAGAATAATTGAGGGGTGTGTGTGTGTATGTGTGTGCGTGCATGCACGCAGGTGTGTGGGCACAAGCGTGCACTTTACACCAAGGACTAATTGCTACCTGTTAATGAAGCTCTGCATCTCAGATGTCACTGCAGTCCACCATCTCCCACCAGCACAGTCCTGATAATAACTGTAACTCTCCTGACTAGGTAAGAATATTGAATTTAACCAAGCAGCAGATGATTAAAACTCTCAAAGAAACTGAGTTCCACTCGTAAAGAAAGCAAGCTCCTCTTTCCACTCACTTCTAAATGTTCCTACTGGAAACAATCTGATTTTGTGCCACAGACTAGCATGGCAGATTCCTCACATACCCAGGCGAACCGGACCTACATGAGAATTGAACCTGAAGTCGATTTTTGAAATTCATCTTTCTTGTTCTTGTGGAGGAGTTCAATTCCAACTTAACATTATTCTGATAGACTATCCAATTTAAGTTTGATTGTTAATATGACATCATGGTCTGTGGCAGTAAAATTGAAGTTGTGGCAGCCTTTATAAAAATAAGACCAGGCTGCTAAAACCCTATGAGGGTGTTTGGAAGCATAGTTGTGTGCCCCTAAAATGCGGCTTATAATGAAAATACTGATAAGCCCTTCAATGGAGGAGCTCCAGAGACTGCCTGAGAATATAAATGACCAACTTCCTTGCTCTACTGAGCCACATTTCCAAGCTCCTGCTACTTGTTATTTCACTGAAGAGTTGGGTTTGGAGTCCTAATGGCAAAGGGTAGAAGAAGGCAGACGATGTTTCTATTGTTGCTGTTTGTAGGTTATAAGGCATATGGACACATTTTTTCTTTCCTGTCTGCCTAGCAGTGGAGGGTCTCCATGGTATCCTAGCAACCAGATTCGAACACCAGGCTGCTTGCTCTTTCTCCCATCTCTACCA